TATTGGTGTGTGTAGTCTCCACAAACTGTCCTCAACTGCCAGTATTTAAAAATAATAATAATAATTGTTTGTGCAACTGCCTTTATTACGTACTTTAACACCATTTGTGCCTGTTCATTCTATTATGTGATTCTTTGGGAGGGGGTCTTCTGGCCCATTGACATCTCATCCTTTTGACATGGATGTCCCTCTGCCATTGCGCAGACCTTGTGGGAGGTGAATGTTGGAAGACTGTGGCAAGCAGGGTGTGCATGGAGAGGCTATTCAGAACTCTACCTCACTCTGTCTCATGGTGGACAGCACAGATGTAATGGTGCTTGGGTTGGTTGTCGATCAGAAATTACAGAAAGGAATTTAGCTTCAGTGGTTGGTTGACAGAAAGCTGTAGAGGAGAATAGATTTGGTACCTGAATATAATAACTTTTCTTTTTTAACTTTGCACCCTGGTATGGATACCAATCAACACAGCATATCACATTTTAGTTGTGAGTTCACTTTTAAAATAGATCTAAGTCATAAGTTTTCTAAAACACTGCATATCATAGACATAGACTTCCATGTTTTTTCCATACCGTTTTCCCCTATTCTTTATTCTTTTTTCATTCTCAGTACTGATATACTGCAGCTTCTTTCAGACACTTTCTTTTTACATGCACTTGCTCCAGCATTGGCTGCACATCATTGCTTTTAGATAGTGACAACGGTGAACTGTACATCCGCAATGTGTGTCTCAACCAGGGACATATGTGACAGGGTCACAATACAGGAGCACAATTGTGTTACCTATAATGAGGCAGCCTGAGGCGGTTGCCTCATGCAGCATCTTATTGGGTCATGTGGGGGTGGCAAGTGGTACACTCCCTTTTTGGCCAGAGCGTCCTAGGTTGCTAAAAATTGACATTATGGGTTGCCCAGCTCTTGGGGACCAATGATGTCAGAGAGCTGGATGGGATGTCGAACAAAGCTGGAGGCAGAGGTACACCAGCACCAAACCCACCACAGGTAACAAGCAACAAAGCCCCCCCTTCCAGGAACCTGCACCACCGACAACCCCCCATGGCAAAAAGTGGGGTTACTCCATAACAAAGGTTGCCTGAACAAGCACCTTTATGGCAGATCCTGGATATTTTTTTTAATAGATTGAAAATAACTATTAAAATGACATTAAAATGTTAAAGATTATGTCAGACTTTAGTGGTTGGGCTTAGATCTTCTTTTACTTGTACCTTCAGTAGAAAATCACTCTTGGGTTAGTAGCACATTAACTAGTGACCAAAGACCCGATGATTTACTGTTAAAATACATGGGATAGGGGGGTAATTGGTTATTGATTTTGTGATTCCTGTTTTTTTTTCAATGTTTATAAATTAGAACCATACATATGAGGCTATAAGGAACCTTTTAAATAAATATGTAATTGCCCTGTCTATTTTACTATAGATTTTCTCTTTCATTGCAGGGTGCCCCACAGAATGGGATGGTGTCAACTGCTGGAATGCAGCCGCGGTAGGACAGATGGTGACTGTACACTGTCCAGAGAGTCTTCAGATGTTTCTTAAGTCAGAAGGTAATGCTCCATCTTTTCTTCTAAGTTCTAAGCTCTGTTGTGATTCTAATAATCTTATAGCGGGGCTGCAAACTGTAGCACTGATATGTTGTCATCTGGATCCCCACTAAAAGCAGAGGTGAAAGTACAGATTGGTGAAAATGAGTTCCTTATTGTGTCCTAAACAATAAATTACCTGGCCTGTCATTATACTTAACCTTTGTTTAAGGCACTGTCAGGAACAAATTTCCATCGATCTGTATCTCCACCACTGCTATTACAGCTATTCAGATGACAATAAATCAGTGCTACACTATGCAGCCCTGATGAAAGGTGTTCTGTTGATTCCCTGAAATGCATTGCTGTCTTTTTTATGAACTTTGCACTATGATCATTAAAGGTTTACTGGACCTTTCATACGTTTCTGGTGCTCGCACTCATTTGCACTTTTTTCTTTGGATTATCTTGGGCATCCGGTTAATAGAGAGAGCCTTGGAAGACCAAGGACCTTATTAGGTCATATATATCCGTGTAGTCCAGTACTCCACCGATACCTATTTTTGTCACTTCACTAAGGAAGATTTAGTTGTAGGTAGTTGATATCTGATAGGGTCATGGCAATGGAGACAATGCAAACAGGGCAGGTTCTCTGTGCATATATTATTGTCACTCGAAGTCTTGGGGGTACCTTGTACCAAAGCTGTGAAGGGTTCACTTTGAGGACCAAAGTTTTAATATACAACGACAAGCTTAAATATCAAAACTGAAATTTTGAGATGAGCTAAATAAATCCCAATGAATAAATGCTGAAGTAACATAATATACCAGATGTACAGTATATGATAACTGACAGATCTGTCTGTCATTATTAGGTCTACCAGTACAAGTGTGCGTACACAAGCTGTTGATTAGCAAAATGTGCCAACCAGAAAAAGCTGAATTAGTGGGGAAACCAGCCTCACGTCAAATCACAAAGAATTAACCACGTACGGACCTTGTTCAGTATGAAATTTCTTGGGGTGTTTGGCTATATAGAGCAGAGGAGGGGGGCTCTTGATATAGGGGGGCTCAAATGCAGAACCTGACATCACCTTAAGGCCGCACATAATATTCAGTGATTAGAAACCAACAGAAAGCTGTTAGTGACTGCAGACATGCAACAGCAAATTATTATAGACTGCATACTTGCTAAACAAGTTGGTTAGAGATTGTGAACATGTTACAGGAGTGGTGGGAGAATGGGGACATGCTTCAGGAGACAGTCATAGACTGAAGACGCATTACATGAGGCTGCTGGATCAATGCTTCCTTTTTTGTGACGCTTACAGCCCCCTTAAATATTACTTGTGCCATAACGAAAGCTTTCATATAAAAATAATTTTAAAAAAAGAGAAAAGGGATGGACAGTACAGAAAAGAAAGTGAAACAAGTCGCGTGAAACAAATAATCCAAACCATTTAGCAACTTGAAGAGAGTCTCAAGAATATTTATCCCACCTTGGCCTAACTAAGAAAAACAGACTGGCGTCTGTAGGCACCGTGAGGGCTACAGGTTAGGCACCAGGGATTGGGCCAGTTGACCAATTTTTGGGCTGCTCAAGTAAAAACACTTACAGGGTTATTCACAAAAGGATGAAGAGTTTGGCGAAGGGAGGAGAAGTGAACAATCTAGGCCAAAATGGCTGATTTGGAATTTTTGCCAAATCAGCTCACTTTCCAGTTCAGCTATGTTGTCCTAGATTGTTCACTTCTCCTTCCTTCTCCAAACTCTTCACCCTTTTGTGAATAACCCTGTAAGTGTATTGACTGCAGCTGGAAAGACGTGAGCAGTGATCAAATCTGTGACAGCAGGAGGTATTCCAGTATCCATCTGACCTTCATCTAATAAAGTGGAGCCTTATATACCAGAAGGCCTTACACATGCAGTTTTATGAGTCATGAAGATTATATTGAAACCTGACATTCCACAATGCTTGCTTATTAAAGCTCAACTCTAATCAGCTATAAAAAAAAATGTATTATGCCCTCCTCCCCCAGATAGCTAGGTATAAATACTTGTTAAGCCTATGGGAGATATAAAGGAGAGAAATACATTCCATATTCCTCACTCCCACAGGCTTTCCCCTCATCCCTATTACCACAAAGCTTCTCCTCTTCACTAGTTGTCCTCTCTGACATCATCATGGTCCTGCAAATCTTACTCTAAATCTCCTGCGACTAGCAGTTAGGGGCAGCAGTGCCTTAGCTCTCACAATGCAGATATACATCTAAAGAGGCTGTAGATACAAGATTGCCTAGGCTCCCTCACATATCAGGAAATTCACTGTTATTTCCCAGGAGGAATTTAAGACAAAAAAGTTGATTTTTCACAATCTTCTACACAATTAACATTTCTAAATATTCAAAGCTTCACTTTTTGAGTTCAGGTCAACTCTAGCAAGCAGGACCTTTAAACCCTATTTGTATTGTATGTATGTTGCTGCTATATAGGAAAACAAAATGCACGTTAACTCTGCCACCTTTTGCTATCAACAGTTGCCATCAGCAGGAACTGCACTAATAATGGTTGGAGCCCTCACTCTTCTTCATACCTGAAGGCCTGCTTCTTTAACAGCAGTATTGAGACTGATGACAAGGTGAGTGAAGAGCCTAGCAATAGCACTGGCTTTACATTCATAGGGTTTTTGAATAGATAGCAGTGGAATTATGGGACAGGGAGTTGCTAATTTGCAGTATTATGTTTATTGCAGTTGGCATCAAAGGGTCAATACATCTAAAGCTGGAATGGTAGACAACCTGACAGTTTCTAACATTTCTATGAGTCTCTAGTGGTGAGATCTCTGCACTTGAGTTCACATGTCTGCCCACCTGCTGTGACCATTATGAAGGCTTTAAACTTGTCACGGTCTGGGGAACCGGGGCACTAGGGTACCTGAGCTCCGGTGTTTACAGAGTTGGTAGGAGCCACAAATAGGCAGGATATCGGGATGTTGGTAACAGAACTCTACCTGTTGAGTTTCTAATCCATTTTATAAAATGGAGGAGGGGTAAAGTAACCACGCAAAAGGTGGGCAGGAACACCTAAAACTCTTAGGTGAACAGGAAGAGAGTCAGGAATCCTTACTGGTGTATCTAAGACATGTAAGAAGCCAAAGGCTAACTTGTTTCACCAGGCTTCCCCTATCACTTAAATTTGACATTTGAATAGATTTACTTTTTAAATTGATTTTGCATTTTTGTCAAGAATGGTGAAACCCTTTTATTGGTGGTGTAGTAGTGAGCGGCAATGGTCCTCCAGTAATCATTGAAGTTCTATGGTAGGAGCTGTATCTAGACCAATACAGTCAAGAAGCTCAGTAACTCCTGTAACCCTAAATGCTACTTTAAAAACTTTCAAAAGCAAATGGCTGGAGGGGTCCTGTGAGGTGCCATCCTTGCCACTTGTCAAACTTTCAAGACCTGGACCAGAAGCTGCAGCTGGGCCAGACAGCACTCCCTTCCTACTTCACGGTGGAAGTCCACGTGTTACAGCACATACAGGAAGTGCTTTTTTCTTCATAGTTCCTGATGGAGAAGAAATTTTCCTCTAGGCTTGTGTCACAGCTTCTCCATTAGAGCCTATGTGCAAAAGGCTGTACGTGTGTAGTACCCAGCTGCACGCTATCTTTGAGATTGGGAGTGTTGTCTGCCATGATCTACGGCTCCTAGTCCACATTGCCTGCTAATCTGAAGTCTGTAATCGAGGGTATCGGTAGCATTAAAAGGTGGCGTCTTTAGAGTTAGTACTGTTATCTTTAATCAAAAGTTTAATTTAGCAAAGAAAGGGACATCTGTTTTTCATAATTAGCATGTGATTAGCAGGTGTAGTACATGTTGGTGTGGTCAAGAGAGTAACTATAGCCATAAATAGAAAAACATGTGACTGTGATAAAGCACAGAAGCACAGGGGACCCACAGTTGTCTGGTTACACAGTGATTATTGCAGGATCAAGCAAATACATTTGGATAAACAATTTATATATAGTTTGGTAATCATTTATATATGTATGATTTGCTATAAAATTATTACTATTCTGTATCTATAAGAATTGTTGAATGGGGGAAGCGCAGAGGGCCCTTAACGATTTTGCTATGAATCCCTATTACATTACATTGTTAAAGCTTTAGGTATGGTTAAAGGAAACCTGTCATTGGAGGGATAATGTGTCTATCATTGATGATCTCTTCTTGGAAATGTGACTTTCCTAGCTAAATAAAGTACTGAAACCATTGCATTACTGTAAATAACGATCCAGAAAAAGCATGCAGACCTCAAAGTCAGAGTGAAGTCAAAACGCGTGACCTTCATTTTTGTTCCCAGTAAGAGGCGCAAAATAGTATAGACAGTCCGGGAGGATAGAAAGGCAATAAGCATGATAGCAATGGTAAGCCCATATTCCTCTCTGGTTAGGTCCTTTTAAAGAGCCAGGTCTAGTTGGCTAGCAGCTTTACCGTTGCATGAGCTGGATGTCACTCCTAGCTCTTCCCCCACCATATCTGTCATTTCTCATCTCTAGCACAAAACTACTCATTTGGCAAAGTGTCTAAAAAAAGATCTGTCTTTTAATATCCCTTTACATAAACGGAAGAATAAAAGAAAGATTGACAGAAGCTAGACAGCCCTCCTATCAAACACTTGATGTTCTGCTTCATGTGCTCTTGCCATTTCGCATATTTGTGGAAGCAGGTCACATGTGCTGTTTCTTCTAATCAGTAATTTGGTTTTATTGTATTAGTACTAAAAACTTTTATGTTATCATGGATGCCATATATATGTATATATGTCAAACTTTTTTTTTTTATAGAGTAGAGAAGGGTTGAAACCCATTGACCCCTGACCATTTTGTTTTTCATTCTCTTCATCTCCCTGTTCATCTACTTTTTTTCCCCTTCCTCCTCTTCTGTTCCCTTCCTTACTCCTTTTTTTTCTCTAACTCATCTTATACCCTCTCCTGTTTTTTATTCAGTTGTGGACACTGGACATAACACAAAAAAAGTTAATTAAAGTATGCAGTACTGGTGTGTGTAATATACCCCTTCCTTCTGCTTCATTTTCGCTCCCCCGTCACACTAGCTGGTAATTGCCAACCATCAAAATGACAGCGGGGAGTTGCTCTATGAATACAGCAGCTCTAATAGCTGCTTCAGTCAAAAAATTCACAGCGCTTATAAGCACTATTAAGATGCGAGATAAAGCGATACAAAGTAACTGTCACGGTCTGGGGACCGGGGCACTAGGGTATGTGAGCTCCGGGGTTTGAGGAGTTAGTAGGAGTCACAGACAGGAGGGCTATCTGGGATGTTGGTCACAGAGAGAGAGGAACTAATGGTCTGTGCGTTCTCAGGACGCACTAGAGGCGCAGAATCTAAGAAGGGCCAGGTATTCGACAGAGCCTCTAGTGGTGAGGATGATTGGCTGCTGGACACCTTCCAGGTTGCGGCCCTCTAGCGCACCCACACAGACACAAAGAACTAGTCGAAGCATTGGGGAACTGGATACAAACAACAGGTAGAGAAGAAACTTGTAACCAAGAGGAGGAAGATAGGAACAGTGGCACACAATGAGAGAAAGAAAGTCACAAGCAAAAGGTGCAAAACGCACAGCAGAACAGCAGAGTATACTGAAAAAGGTAGCTAAACAAGGACACTCAGGAAGGGTAAGTAGCTTAGAGGCACACCTAGGAGCAGGAAGGTGTAACTTACAAAAGTAAGCAGATGTGCTTTGCACATGCATACAAAGAAGCTGAATAACAGAGGGAAAAGTACATAAAGAAGCACAAAGGGATGTATGCACACAGGGGGTGTGCAGACAAGGACGAATCCAACACAGCCACAAGGTAAGAGAGGAGCACAGAAATAAAGGGGTGACAGCGAAGCATAGGAAGATACACTGGAAGGTAAGTGACGGAATTGAAGTACAAGAAAGCAAGTAAATAGGAGGAAGCAAACAGACAAAGGCTGGAGAGGGAAAACACAGTAGAAGTGAGGCAATGAAGGCAGTATAGGGAGAGACTCACAGCACACAGGTGAAAGCAATTAAGGTCTACAGCAATATACTAATGGTAACCACTGAAATACTATAGTAGGTGCGCAAGGAGCAAAGCAGGGGATAACGCCAAACAGGGATACCAGCTGGTACAGGGAAGCCAAAGGCACAAGGATCCAATAGCAAGCGCAGGGAATAAGATCCCAGGGATAGTTAGAGCCACAAGGGGTACGGCACAAGGCATAAGACTTGTTGCTCGCACCAAGAGCAACAAGTGGGGAAGTCCTAAATAGGGAAGGAGGAGAGCAGATTGGCGGCAGCCTTGTGAGACACCATAGGCCGTCAGCCCAGAACCAGGGAGCAAAGCAAAAATCCGGCACGGATTTCCGGATATTGTGACAGTAACAATGTTATTTTTATTTCATTTGTCTGCAGAATTTGATCCGCATATGATGTCAGGTAAAGCAACCTGGCAAGTTAAAAAAAAATATATTTTTTTAATATTTGTTCCTAATTTTTTCCTATTTAAAATCTTTATTAACTCTTAGTTTACCCTAATCAGCCCTAATTATCTCCCTTTTCCTCTTTTTCTCTTACTATTTTGTTTCTGATCTTTTTCTTATTTTCCTAACCTGATTTTCTGATGTTTTTTTTATTATTATTTTCCTAACCTGATTTTTTTTTCTTGTTTTCCTAACCATTAATATCTATTGCATACAAAAAAGGAAAATAGGAAAATGATTGAATAAAATGTACACATTTTATCTACAGTAACACCATTTATTTTGATTGCTTGCAAAATAAAATAATTTTTGTACTTTTTATAATAAACTAATTCAAAAAAGAATAGAAGCTTTCTCTACATCTTTGCCATAGAAAAACCTGATTTGCAACAAACCTCCACCATCCTTTCAAGCTGGAAGTTGCAAAATGGGAAATAAGAGTTGAAAATAAAACCTTGTCCGTGCTATTTTTTTTTCTGTCTGTGTCTTTTTGAGGGAACTTCCCTTCAATTTCTGTCCTGGAGGCGTATCAAGAAGTGAGGGGAAAATCCTCCAAAGTGAGGGGAATTCTCTTCTAAGTCACTGGAACAGATGTCCCCATTTGAAGATAGCCCTCATCTTTTGGTCTGGATTGCCCATCAGTTTCTGTCTCGTTAACAATTCCCATTAGGAGAATTTGAGAGGGCAATTCTACCCAGGCAGCAAGAAAAACCAGATAGAGGTTCTAATCATATATTTCTCTATCCATAGCTAATGCATACATTTCAGATTCAAACCAGCCCTACAAAATGACAGCTAGGATCCGACAGGGTGGATCTACATGTAGGCTGTGGGAACACATCATCAGATCTTGGTATTTAAAATTTGATGCATGTAACTATATTTCATTCTTAAAAGTTATACAGTTCATGTGGAAAATAAATGTTGTATATATATACTGTAGTTTATCCACCTCTAATAGTGAAGCACATGTAGAAGTTTTTGTTTCCATGTAGAGGAACTGAATTTGGCAGGAGACATATTTGACTGCTCTGCTACATGTGATAAAAGTTATTGCTGTTGATTCCATTTACTTTTTAAAGCCAAACTCTGAGATCCCTTCTCTCCCCAAGTCTATACCTCCTACCTTTCTCTACCAGGGTTCAGTACAGCCTTATGGTTCCTCCAGAGGTTGCTAGGGGCAATGCAAACATTTTGACTCTCAGATAAGTAACCAATGACCCCAATGATCTTTTCTAGCTATCTGTGAGCCATTGTGAGCCATTCTTCCCTTATACAACCAATGTAAAAATAATTGTTTTCACTGACCACCATACGAATGTACCCTGAGGTAAAGCTATAGTAAATATTGGCAGGGATTCCCTGAGACCTGAAGGTTATTGCAAGAATTGGTCTATATTAAAAAGGTTGACAAAGGCTACTCTACACCATTTATTTTTCAGTGTGAAAGCAGCTAGTTATATGAACAAATTTGGTTTTAATTTACGTGTGAGGCCACTATGGTACCCCCAAATCCTTGCTTCGGCTGGGAGCGGTGGAAGGTTGCTAATTAGAATAGCCTACCCATTAGAGACTTCAGGTGCAATTGGGCAAGTAAAGGAGTGAATGGGCTGGGAAAGAATGGGAAAGGAGTGAATAGACAGAGAAAGGAGTGAATGGGCTGGGAACAAAGTGAATGGGTGGGGAAAGGATTACATGGGTTGGGAAATGTGAAGTCAGAAGCAGAGACTGACTCTGACCCCAAAGGCAGCAAGGATGTAATGTAAGCCTGAACTACAATAGGACTGTTACATGACCAGTTGCATGCTCATGGACAACAGGCAGTGCTGAAAGGTCATGGATAGCGGAAATCACTTCCTGGAATTCAACTTTAAAACCAAACTTTGGGCAAAATATTGATAGTTTTGTGTAGTATGTGAAAGGGCTAGGACCTCAACATTTTTATGATTTTGGCCAAATTTGGGAGATATTGCATTACTTCTTGTCTATTAAATGGGTAATAGAATAATATGTTAGGTTAAATCCCACCATCAGTGACAAAGACAATAATAAACACACATTTGTAGTAGGGAAGGGAGTGGTTAGAACCTCGGTAAAACCTATTTTCAATTGGATCCCTAAATTAAAAAAATAATAAAAACTCCTCTTCCAGTTTGCATGACACCCTGCATCATTCAACTACTTCCTAGGAGCCCAAGGTGTTAAGGCTCCGCCCCCCACTCAGGGCTTACAGAAGAATTCTGGAGATAGTGGCACTGGAGATCCATACTATTGCTGTCACACAAAGCACAGGGTTCCAGATCTCCAGCGGTCCAACACTCCTCCTGCCCACTGCTCCCATCTACAGTGACGCTCAGGTGAGTGCAGAGGGAGTGTTGGACTGCTGGAGTTCCGAAACAATGTGCCTTGTGTGAGAGTAACACAAATTACTTTTTAGTCAGTCTGAATGCATTAGAAAATAATGGGTTTAATCAGGCTTTAGAAGGTCACATTTTAACCACCCACTGACTCTATAAAATGTTTTATTTATATTCGTTTCTAACATATGGGGTGGAAATGCTTACTACCTCAACAGCAGGAAATCATTCTCTCTCTCAAGACCCGAGCTACTTCTCAATACAAGTAATGCACATTACTCAGCCTCTGTTATTACATTAGCTGCATATCATGAACCTCACATGTGTCTCGCTCCATGCAGATCGCATGGGAAAATGTCATATAGGATTTTGCAAGCCACTGGCAGACGTTGCCATGGCAACTTACCATTTACGATTTTATATATACTTATATATCCACAGGAACCAATTTCACAAGAAGGAGACCTAAACAATCTGTGTGATACGTACAAGAATTTTATAGGGTTTTTTCCGTCATAGTTGGTGACAAGAATGATATGTACTTGTGTGTTTTATCCTTTGCTTGGCAGGGAAAGGAAGGCATAGTTGCTCGAGAGAGAGGTGGGGCCCCGGCGGCATACCTTATCCATGGCACTCTAGCTGTGCTGAAAGTACAGATCCCATCATGCCTCTGCATCTCGGAGTCACATCTGTGGCTCTCTGAGTTTTGCAATGCCGCACAGGATTTGTAGTTCCAGCTGCAGTACAGAGGTTGCTTACCCTTGGTATAGATGTGCTTCATTTGAGACATGTACTTTTAAGTTGGGGTGTGCAAACTCTGGCTCTGCAGCTGTGGTGAAACTAAAATCCCATCATGCATCTGCTTTTGAGAGTCATGCCTGTGGCTGTCAGAGTTTTGCAATGCCTAATGGGATTTGCACTAATGTGAATGCAGGAGGGGTGAATGAAGGACATGATCCCCCTCCACCATTCACAGATTTAACTGCGGCAGAGAAAGATAAGGTATTTTGCTGTGCAGGGCAGAGTGACAAGTTTGCTTTAGTGCCCCCTTCCATAGTGGCGTATAGTCATCTTCCCTTCGCTCCATTCAGAGAAGGAGACAAGAGAGGAAGCCCTGTATAAGGTCCAAGGCACAACTCCTTGTCTGGAAAGTCAAAGAGGATCCTCAAACTTCCCCGAGCTGCATGCTTGTTTCTGGCCAGAAAGTATGGAAGCCAGTGACAGCCATGGGACCTATTTTATAAGTACATTTCCTTTAACAAGGGAAGACCAATTAGAATTCAAGAACCAAACAGAATAATGTGAAACCTTCAGTCTGCAAACAGTTTAGAGAATGAGAACAAAATTGCCTCCTTTAATCATCATTAACAAATAGCACATTTTAGTCACTGTCTCCTAATCCAATAAAATGAAATGCCACTAGGAATTACGTCCCATCCATTTTCATTTACTCAAAGCTGTTTTCACGTGATAATACTTTGTTAATGGAAGTCTATTGCTGTCTCTGTGGATACCATGCCAGTTTTCTTGCCCTCTTTTAATTGCCTGAAAATGTAATGTCATTTAGAGAATATTAGAGGTGGGAAATTATCCATCACGTACAGTTCTGGCTGATGAACCTTAAATGAACGGGAAGCAAGAAAAATGTCCCCTATGGGGACAAAGGCAGCAATACAAATCTGACATGTGTTCTACACCTTCCTTACTCTGTCCAACTATAAAAGGATGGAATTGGAGTTGGGCTTTAATCATCCATCTTGTGAATAAATTAGTTAGTAAGACTGCATGAGCTTGCAGGGCTCTAGGGCAGGGCTGTTCCAAAACTATTCGCCACCAGAGGTAAGGGGGTGCAGGTTGGGTGCTGCCTGTGAATGGTCATTCCGAGGAGGGGGTGCTGTCAGTGAATGGGCGTTCCGCAGGGGGTGGTAAAGTAGGAAAATAGCAAGGAGAACACTACCACCCGGGTCTGCCTGTGCAAGAACAATTTTACAAGTATCCTGTGGAGACTCTTACCTAAAATGGGGCTAAATTAATTTTGATGGTTAGAAAAAGCAAACAAATACTGGAATGTACCAAGTTAATTATCAAGCTCATCATCTATGTATATGGTCAATGGGTTTCCATGTCTTTATATTTCAGAGAGGACATTTCTACACAGTGAAGATCCTGTACACATGTGGCTATGCTGCTTCCCTGCTGGCGCTGGTGAGTGCTATCAGCATCTTCTCCCTCTTTAGGTGAGTGTATCTTACTGATTTCTATCTTCCTGCAGGTTAAACAGAATTCTACTGAGTACTGTTCACATCTAAACTTGATATATTGTGCAATTTTGAAAAACAAACACTTTAAAAAAGCTGTTTATGAAATCTCCATTAATCTAATTGGCAAGCACATGAGAAAAAGTTGAGCTGGTCAGAACCAAAGACAAAGAAAATGCTTCCATGATGCAACTGGAGCCCTCCTTATTCTACTCTTTGTAAGCTGTGCCATGCTTTAGCATAACATAGTGAAGGGATGGGCAAAGACATAGTATTTGGGAGTGGGTCTGGACCGGAGGAGCTACACATTAGCTGCAAGACCATTACACTATACACATGTAGCTTCCCAGTCAAAGCTCCATAATTACCTAGATTGCCGAGGTCTATGGCAATGTTTACATCCCTTGGCAGCTTCTTCACCCATGGACGACTTGTAGAAGGCCGATAAGAATTCATCCGTCTCCCAGGCAGCTTAAAGTGTATATAAACCCTAACAATGAACTTCTCTTACCCTAAGTCCTCCTACTTGCGAGATGTTCCTTGCAATCCATAAGAAAAGAAGTAGGTAGGGCTGACACTATGTGCTTTGGAATTTAGAGCCAAAAATACACCAGCTTGTCATGTCAAAGAGGATGGTAGGAGCACACATTATTTCTGGCACATCAGCAGTTATTTTAAACTGGTGTTTAAAGGGATAAAATAAGGGGAAATGTGCATGCATTCCAGAGATGTACTAAATATGTTTCTGTTTTTATTGTTCCATGACATATATTTTACAGTATATCGAAATGCCAAACCACATGGAATATATTGCAGCTTAGCAGTTCTTAGATGTGGTGGCTGTATTAGTTTTCTTTCTCCTGGCTTTTTTTTTTTTTTTTTCACCAGGTGATTCTGATAATAAAACATTTCTTATCATAGGGTGACAATGCTCATTCACTACAATGTACTGTGTCTATGGAGGGGCAGTGCTGTCATGCTAGGCTTCTCTCTTGATTTTGGCTACTAACACCTTCTCCTCTGAATTACATAGAGGGACATTGCGTTGTTGTTCATATAATATAGCTAAAAGCTGAAAACATTGTTCGAGATTTCCGTTGAGTCCATAGGAAGTTAAGAGGGCACAAGATTTCTGACAAGAGCATCAAGTTTTTCTCTATATTTGCAGAAAATTTACCTAAAGTGGACCTTCAGTCCACTAAGCAACCTTTCCTCCCTGAACTTCTCTT